ATTGAGAAAAGGACAGAATAAGGGATTATTTGATTTAACTTTCAGTAAAATACTATCTCCACACACACTTTTAGGAAGTTTTTGAGGTTTTCTTAAAAGTATAGACACATCAAAGTTAGCTTTAAGACAAATTTACTTAAAATAAATCAGATAATGTAAAACTTACTGTTTTTTAACCCCATAAAAACTACATATTAACAGCCTAACTTTATTCCCTATCAAACTGAAAGCATTTAAACATTTTAAAACTCCCCTTTTTCTAATCATGTGTAAATAAATCACTGGCCTTACTTAGCTGTTGCTACATATGTCATTTCATAATATACCTTGAAGGAAAATTGATTATTTACTCAATATCTGACTCAAGAAAGCTAGTCAATTGTCACTAGGTGCAAGGGTGTCAGCTACTTCTCTAATTGAAAATTATAAGAACTATTTACATTATAGATCAGGAAGATCAAATGAGATAAAGATAATAAAAAAAAATTTGTGAACTAGTAACTGTGAGGTGGTAATATTAAAACTTACTGCCCTGTGCTCTGTGAGCAAAGTTGCTATAAAATATCAAGGAGTAAAAGATAAAATGAAAATTTTAAATATTAAATACTTCAAAATTCCTTAAAAGCAATATCTTAACACACTGACTGCCATGTGAGTTGTATTTAACTCAGGCTAGTTTTGACCCCGGGGCCTTATGAAGCAAAACCTTGCAGTTGATTCGTAAAAATCTTACTTATCGATGTTGTTATTGTTACAATTAATATTGAAAATTTAATTCTAAAAACGTGGATTGCATTGCATATAACTCATGCACAGAAAACAATAAAAAATAACAAATTAGAAAGGATCGTTTTGTTTTAATAAAACAGGGTGGGGCCTCAGGGAAAAAATTTTTTTTCTGGTGTGACAGTCAATATGTTGAACAGGATGCTGAATAGCAAATGCTGAAATAAAATAACCATTATTTTCTTTCATTTAGGATGGAAATAAGAAATTGACAGGTCAGGTGCAGTGGCTAAAGCCTGTAACATTAGCACTTTGGGAGGCTGATGTGGAAAGGTTGCTGGAGGCCAGGAATTGGAGACCGGCCTGGGCAATAGCAAGACCCCATTTCTGGGGGCAGGGGGGGGGGTTAGGGTTAGCTGGGTGTGGTGGTGGCACCTGTAGTCCCAGCTACTGAGGAGGTTGAGGCAGGAGGATCACTTGAGCCCAGGAGTTTCAGGTTGCAGTGAGCTAGGATTGTGCTACTACACTCCATCCTGGGCAACAGAGCGAGACCCTGTCTCAAAAAAAAAAATAATTGATGTTCCCTCTTTGTGAAAAATGGTCATGAATGTGTGTAAATAAATCACTGGAATCACAGCATGTTAATGGCTTAGCATTATCCCCCACAAGCTTACCATATTCACAGGACTGCTGTAAATCAGAAATTATTCGAAGGATGTTATTCATTAAATTTGATCTTTGTTCATTTTCTAGAATGCTGCCAGTTGATGGGTACGCTGAATCAATGTATGTTAAGTCTGACAAATAGATACCTGAAACAAAATTGGATAAATGAATGTTTTCTTACTTGCGTAGTTTGGAAAAGCATGACAAAGTGAAGGGGGGAACGCTCGTTTATATATTCTAATGTATGCCACATTTAGAAGGTACTGCTATTAACACACTGAAGCCTTGCTGAAACATGACCACCGGGGCCTAGGTTTCTGTAGAGTTGGGGTCAGACATGCAAATAATATGATTTTTTGTAACTGTTTTCTTACGATACCATTTTCAAGCACAGTTTGAGGCTGGAGTTAGAAAATCCAGCACATATGGGACTTACTGGAAAGAAGCCAAGCCCTTGAACTGGCTCTGCCTCTGACTAGCTGCATAACGGAGACAGTTCTTTTACCTCTGAACCTCAGTTTTCAGATCTGTACAACAGTCAGCATCTATTTTCCAAGCTGTGTTATAGCCGGAAGAAGTTAACTCAGGCAGCCTGGCCAGTGCCCTCAGATGGGGACGTTATTTAATACCAGTTTATAACCCCTTGCTTTGGGCTGATAAACTGCTGTTGTTTGAGTCTGAACTACTTTGAAAATTGTCTCAATCTGGTAGAAATGTCTTAGTTTTAAAGATCAACAAATGGATTTCTGAAACAGTTCATGTGACTACAAATTGAAGTTAACTCTTTCCTATCCTCTCCCCACATTCTCTGCACTAACAAAAATAACACATCCCCCAGAGTAATTTGGTTGTACTCGTCCTGAACATGGAAGGTCACTCATTTAAAAATATTTCCTTTGAGTTCACTATGCATATGTAAAATGTTTAGGACAACTATATAGTTGGAGAGAAAAAAAAATATATTTTCCTACTTTTACCTCATTACTCCATGTTCATGAATTCTCAGGGTAAATGCAACCAAAATGACAAACCACTGCCTTCTAAATAAACCCTATGTTTTTATTCTTGACATTTTCTCCCACCTTGAATATTTTCTAGACTTACCTCTGCCCATCCAAATCTTGTATCCTACATATCCAGTTCACTGTCAGCTGTTCTCTAGTCTTCTCACAGTTGCCAAGAAAGGAATTTAGGAACTGTCTAGTCTAACCCCCCACTTTTTTATATACGAAGAACCTGGCTGAAAGGACCTGTCTAATGCTACGCAACCTGTCAGGCAGCGATAGAGCTGATCTCAGAGTTTCCCTTGTAGTGCAGGTTTTAAAAAAAATTATGTTCTGTTAAAAACTCATACATTATCTGTACCATTCACTCAATAACTTTTATGACTTTATAATCTCTTTACTTTCTCCTATTTATACCTTATCTGATCAAGACTATAAACTCATTTAAGGCAGTTGCTCTGTCTTATATTCTAAGAAAAAGAAAGTCCCTTGAAATGTTTTGACAATAGGTGTTCAATACAACACAAAAGGTTGGCATGGCAATCCTTTTATTCATCCTGGTATCCTTCACTTTCCAATCAGTAAATCTTTACAGTATTCTTTAAGCCACCTATCATAAATACTTTTTTTCTTTAGAAAATCTCAACTTTTTTCCCCCCTATGACTAGCCTAGGTTCTTCCTACTTCCTCCAATCTCAAAGAGGAATTTTCTCTTTTCTCCAAATCTAAACTGTGATTCTGTATGTAATTGGTACTCCTCCTTCCAAATACCCACTGTTGTCTCTACTATCACTCATCCCCACTGGCTCCTTTCCCAGAGCCAATATACACACTTAAATCTCCCCTATTTAGGAAAACAAAATCAAAGAAACCCTTCCTTCAAATCTGATCCCCTTTTCAAGATAAGACCCTTGTCTTCCTCCCTTCAAACAACTTGAAAGAGAAACATAGAATAGTACACTTATTATTTTATCCTTTATTCTATTTTTAGCATAATATTTGAAACACATAAAAGTTTACATGTATCAGGAAAAACTGTGAAAGATTTTGAAATGGGCAAAAAAGATTACTTGGTATCCTGTCTTCAATGCATTCTTTTGACCCTTTTGAGCTATTTTATTTTACAACTCTGTAAGATGTTGTAACCTGGTAATAATACAAATTCTTGTCCATAAAATTATCGATAAATTATATTCAGTGGGATGTAATTGATTATTGACTAGTTGCTGTTGACCAATTTTGCAACTATTTGTAAATTTATTTCAGCATTCTCAATTGTCTACATGTGTGTTACTTTGAATTCTCCCTTGAAATGGATTTTTCTGATCCCCTTATAAATTTGGTGATTTAAATATAATAAAATCTTTAACATGTATTCATTTTTTCTTTGTGTGAGAATCATTTTAGCTTTTAAAAAATTATCAACACATGCAATAGCTGTTATTATTAAACAATACAATAAACATTTGTGAAAGACCAGTGAACGTAAGAACTACAACATCCCTAAGGAGAGCTAAGAATCCTCAGGGAAATGGCACAGGGATCCCAGCACACGTACGTTGATAATAAAAGATATGTTAAAAGTAACACAGAAAAGGTTAAAAAGGAAGCTTTATAAAAATTCTTTGCATGAAAGCATTCCCACTTAGAACTGGAATCAGACAAAGTTGCCCACTGTCTCCACTTCTATTCAACATAGTGCTGGAAGTCCTGGCCACAGCAATCAGGCAAGAGAGTGGAATTAAAGGCATACAAATGGGAACAGAAGAGATCAAA